GTTAGGGGTCTACTGCAGGGGTGGGTGGGTGAGGTTCCGTGGCTGCAATGTGTGGGGGGTCAGACTAGCTGATCACGATGGTCCCCTCTGACTGTAAGTCTGTGAGTCCCCACCTCCCTGCAGTGTATTCTGAAATTGGAGAGATATTGAATGCACACATCTGTCCCCAACTGCAATCGACATCTGGAATGAGCTTTGCGGCACTGCAGCATCTCCCCAGTGTGGTTTGGTTTAGTGCATCTTTTCCCCTCTGGAAAGAACAATAACTACGGGAGAAAGAACCTGCATAATTCTGGGCCATGATGAAGCAGAATCAAACTCTCTAGCAGGATAATTAAGCTCAGCAGAGAAGAGGTGATTCTTAGTTTGACTGTTTCTGTGCAGTTACCTCAATGAATTCCTTCTCTGTAATATGGCAGCTCATCCCTTTAGACCTTGGTGTCCCTACTGCCAGCTTACTAATGGAGAAACACAAACCACTTAGAAGCTCACAGTCAATCGACCAGCCACCAGCACCCCAGGGTCTCTCCTGGGTTCAGCTTGGGGAAGGCTTCGAATTTTTCTTTCTTAGGATGTTCTGAGGGCTCCCTGCACTCCCAGACCTGCTCTTCCCAAGAGAAGTGTCAGTCCACAGCTGGGGGGTTGGAATTACAGGTTGGGAGACTCCTCCAGGAGGAAAATGGCAAGTCAATTCCCAGCTCCCCAGATAGATGCTGGGTGGTGCAAGCCAGCAGAACTCCCTCTGCTGGACCATGACAGAGCAAAGCATTATGGACCCCCCACCTTTGCGCATGTAAAAATGCACCCAACCAAAAAAAGTCTCTAGCCTCTGGTTTATCAGCACCATATGCTGGGCTGGTTGGGCGCATACATGGAGTCTGCACAGCCACACACACATGCAGTCATGGCACACACAAGCACAAATAAACACACAGAGCAAACTGACTGCGCTCAATATGCACTCAAGTCTAATTAATGGGAGAGGAAGGAATTGAAGGGTTCCAGAACCGGGCTAACATCCTGGTGAGAAGAAACATGAGCCTTTCAGCTGATGCCCTTGTGACATGGCATGCCTTGTGCCACTCAGACCCTCTTCGCAGGTTAGTGCCACTGGCTCCAGGTACCTGCCCCTGTAACGTAGGAGAGACGCCTTTTGGGAGGGGCTTCAGAGCCCTGGTCCTAATGCCTAGGCAGTGAACCAGGCCCTTGGGCTGATCTCAGAGAATCCAGATTTGGGGATCACAATAGGTTTGTCTGGAAAAGGATAACACCAAGTGTAACAGATACACACATGCAGCCTCCTGGTGCAGACCAGCCATTCACTAAGGCCTGCCCCGGGCCAGCACCCCATACTCCATCCAGTGTGTGCAGGATCCAGGGTCCTACCCACCTCACCACCACAGCTACACCTTCTGGATCTTGTGTCTCTCCATGCCCCTCCTCCCGCACTCTGTTCACTCAGCAATCACCATCACTGGGGCAGGAGCAGGCTTCATCTGGATCAACCTCCCTACGTCTCTGATCCCCAGCAGATCTCAGCCGAACACAGCCCCATTCTCTCTGGCCCTGCCCCAAACCTCTCTCCCTCTTTCCCACCTGTCCTTAGTTAGACTCGGTAAACGCATCAATTCAGCAAAGCACTTTGGGATAGGGTGTGTACACCAGGATGCACAGAATAAAGTCACACGCAAACACAGAGCAGAGCGTGTACACGCACACAGTGTTCCCGTTAGCTGTAAACAAGTACCCAGCGCAGCTATAAGGTTTTGAGACCCTCGTCTCTGCTGCCACCAGATCTGACCTCATGAGAAACATGGATCTTCGGCCTGCCCAGGACGCTGTCCTTCTCATTCCCAGCCTGATGCTCAGTGAGGAAAGTGCCTCTTTATTAGACTGCAAAGGAAAAACGCAGCCTCTCAAGCCCTGAGCCTGCAAGCTCCCTGTGCTGAGGGGTACCCTTCCCACCACTGGCCATTCCCTGCTTCTCCGCCCTTTTTGGCCACCCTGAAACCAGAGAACTTTCAATCCCAGAAAACAGGGACCCGAGGGCAGGGCAGCCCATGGCCAGAGGCTCAGTCTCAGGTTCGCCCGAGTTGGCCATGCTGACATTACGGCATGCTGCCTCAGCCCCTCCGCTGCGCCGCTGACTGGGAGCCGCTGGAGGTAAGCCCCCGCCCAAGCCCCTGCCCTGAGCCAGAGGCCCCTCCTGCACCCCAAAACCCTCATCCCCGGCCCCACCCCAGAGCCCACACCCTCAGGCCAGAGCCCTCACACCCCCCTGCACCCCAACCCCTTGCCCCGACTCTGAGCCCCCCCAAACCTCTCATCCTCAGCCCTACCCCACAGCCCTCACCCCAACCCCCTGCCCCAGCGCAGAACCTCCTCCCACACCCTGAATCCCTCCTCCCCAGCCCCATCCCAGAGCCCTCACCCCCTGCCACAACCTGCTGCCCCCTCCCACACTCCAAATTCTTCGGCCCCAGCCTGGAGCCCCCTCCTGCACCCCAAGCCCCTCCTCCCCAACCCCACCCCAGAGCCCTTACCCCCTCCCACATCCCAACCCACTACCTCAGCCCAGAGCCCTCTCCCGCACCCTGAACTCCTAAATTCTGGCCCCACCCCAGAGCTGGCCCCCCCAGCCGAAGCCCTCACACGCTCCTGCACCCCTACCCCAGCCCAGTGAAGGTGGGGGAGAGCAAGACAGCGAGGGAGGGGGAATGCAGTGGGGCAGTGGGCGGGGCCTCGTGCAAGGGGCGGGGCCTCAGGGAAAGGGGCAGGGCTAGGGTGTTCGGTTTTGTGTGATTAGAGAATTGGCAACCCTAGCCCCTCCCTGGGGGGCTGTGAGCTGGGGGGGGCGGCGGGCGCGAGACACAGCGGGCACTGACATGTTCCCAACTCCCACAGAGCCCCTGCCGGCTCAGACGAAGGAGCTGCCGCCAGACAGCGCGAACCCCCAGCCTTCCCCAGGGGCGCACGGCCACTGGGAAGGGAACTTGGCTCCAGAAAATGCCCCCTGCAGCCTGGGGGCGAGCACGACGCCACTGGCTTAGCCACAGGCCCTTGGCCTGGTGCAGTGGGGCCCTGGAGTGCCTGTAAATCACTGGGAACCATGGGGCCCACCTGTGCGGCCCCCCACTGAGCAGCGCCAGCCTCCTCCAGCCAAGCCAGAGAAAGCAAACAGCTGGGAAACTGCCCAAGTCTCGGGTGCATCCTCCCTGCTGCCATGACAGCTCTGCAGTACCCAGGTCACGTTCTGCCCTCTCCACACAAGGCTGCGTCCTGCGGGGCAAACAGACACATTGGCATCGAGAGGAGCTGCCTAGCGTCTCCCCACACCCTGCTCCCTGAGTCCCTGCCACCAGAAATGCCCTCACCCCCTCTGCTGCTGGGCACACTTTGGGAGAGGCATCTCAGGGAGCCATGGGCACAGTTACAGAGACACACAGAGGGTACAATTCCCCGCTGTCACATACGTGCCTGTCCGGCTAATGGCAGACGGGGTCCGACTGCTCTCAGATCCAGCTGGTCTCTCTCCAGCACACAGCCACGCGGTCAGAAGGAGCCTGGCTCTGGATCTGCTTGGATGTGTGTGGGGCAGGCAGGACCTGCCCCTCCAGCTGGAGTCCAGCATTAATGCCCCATTGCAGATGGAGCAGGAGCCGAGTGGGAATTAACCTGTCAGACAAAACCCTTCCCATTGCCCCATTAACGGTCGCTCCCCGCTGGAACCAGAGACAAGGGGAAGAGGTGAACTAATAGCCCGTAATGCTGAGACCCTGCGCCAGCCCGATGCACACAGCTGCCCCCCCCAGCCCAATCCAATCCACACAGCCGAGAGCGGGGCCCCCCAGTCTGACCCACAGGGCCAGCCCCTCCCAGCCTGGCCCAACCCACACAGCCGAGAGCCAACCCCCCACAGAGATACCCCCGCCCCCAGCCTGGAGAGACCCGACCCGCACAGCCATGAGCAGAGCCAGGCCACTCAGGACCCCCAGCCCGACCCGCAGAGCGTCAGAGACAGGAGTGCTCAGAGCGGGGGTCACTGACAAGCGGAAATGGCTGGAGAAGGCAGCCGTGCAGCCTGTCCCCCATGACAGAGATGCAGAGACTGGGCTGGGAGGCTGCCTGCTTGGGGTTAAAGGTGCTGGCACTCGGGCACTGGCCCCGTTTCATACCAAGAGAAACGGGGTCACCTGCCACCAGCGCGGGTGGCAGCCAGTCCAGACGAGGGCCCCTCGCACCCGAGCCCTGCGGTGCCCGGTCCTGACAGGCAGTGCTAGGAAACTCCTGCAGCTCCACACGTTATCCGGCAGGAGCAGCATGGGCCACACACTGCATCATGACTCCAGCTGCAGGCTTCCAAGCCACCCTCCCCATCCCCCCTCGCTGTCACCGCCCGTCCAGCTGTTTGAGGGGAGGGGCAGTTTAATTGCACAGTGACAGTGGGGTGCAGCAAGGCACTGAGCCCCGCACTGACCCAGACGATCCCGGGTATAACACAGTGGGTTTCTTGGCTGGACCCCCTTGACTCACTCTCCCCCACCCCCCCGGGGCCATTCACGAGCAGCCTCAGCCAGAAGGTTCAGGCCCCTTTGGGGGCCCAAGTGCAGAGGAGGGATGGGCGCTTTCCCCCGGCTGTCCTGGCGTGGCTGGAACGTGTCCCCCCCCCGGTACAAGGGATGTTGCGTGGCAGAGCACAGCCCACGGCAGCACTCAGACGCGCCCGGCCCTAGAGCAGGGCAGCAGGTGCGTTCAGCGCTGCAGCAGGAACCTCCCTTGCCTGTCCTGCCCAGGAGGGTTTCGATTTGCACCATCTGCCCCGTGCAAAGGGTGGGGCCGCTGCCACCCAGGGGCTCCCACTCAGAACTGCGACCAGAGGGTTTACAGCCTGCTGCATTCCCCAGAGCGCCCCCAGGGCTGCTTTCTTTTCCCGTCCTCCCTGACCGCTCTGTCCCAGCCCCAGCTGTGCTGGGTGGTGCTAGGGGACCACAGGGTCTTACCTCCAGGGATGCAGGGTTAGTAACGGGCTGCAGGGGCTGCAGGGACTGCAGGGGCTGAGCAGGGTCGGGCTCTGGCTACTTGGAGACAAACTGTAAAGCAAGATGCACCAGACCAGTGTGAATTCAAATGCCCACCCCCTCCAGAGCCTCATGCACCCTAGCGCTGGCCAGCAGCGACACAAGGCCACACTCCTCCAGGCTGCACAGACCCTCCAGTGGGGCTTCTATGGGGTGTCTTGAGGGTCAGGATTGAGAGGCCCCTTGGGGCGTGGGGCTGGACTACCAGGAGGCTAAGGAGAGGGGAGCACCAGCACAACTGTTTATGTGCAAGGAGTCCAGAACTGGAATTGCAGGGGACTGCGGGTCGGGAGTGAGGGGCACGGGCAGAGCGGGGTGGGGGGAGCCCAGGGCTGGGGAAGCAGGGGGCTGCGGGTCAGGAGTGAGGGGCACAGGCAGAGCGGGGTGGGGGGAGCCCAGGGCTGGGGAAGCAGGGGGCTGCGGGTCGGGAGCGAGGGGCACGGGCAGAGCGGGGTGGTGGGAGCCCGGGGCTGGGGAAGCAGGGGGCTGCGGGTCGGGAAGGAGGGGCACGGGCAGAGCGGGGTGGGGGGAGCCCAGGGCTGGGGAAGCAGGGGCTGCGGGTCGGGAGCGAGGGGCACGGGCAGAGCGGGGTGGGGGGAGCCCAGGGCTGGGGAAGCAGGGGGCTGCGGGTCGGGAAGGAGGGGCACGGGCAGAGCGGGGTGGGGGGAGCCCAGGGCTGGGGAAGCAGGGGCTGCAGGTCGGGAGCGAGGGGCATGGGCAGAGCGGGGTGGGGGGAGCCCAGGGCTGGGGAAGCAGGGGCTGCGGGTCGGGAAGGAGGGGCACGGGCAGAGCGGGGTGGGGGGAGCCCAGGGCTGGGGAAGCAGGGGGCTGCGGGTCGGGAGCGAGGGCACGGGCAGAGCGGGGTGGGGGGAGCCCAGGGCTGGGGAAGCAGGGGCTGCGGGTCGGGAGCGAGGGGCACGGGCAGAGCGGGGTGGGGGGAGCCCAGGGCTGGGGAAGCAGGGGCTGCGGGTCGGGAAGGAGGGGCACGGGCAGAGCGGGGTGGGGGGAGCCCAGGGCTGGGGAAGCAGGGGGCTGCGGGTCGGGAGCGAGGGGCACGGGCAGAGCGGGGTGGGGGGAGCCCAGGGCTGGGGAAGCAGGGGGCTGCGGGTCGGGAGCGAGGGGCACGGGCAGAGCGGGGTGGGGGGAGCCCAGGGCTGGGGAAGCAGGGGCTGCGGGTCGGGAAGGAGGGGCACGGGCAGAGCGGGGTGGGGGGAGCCCAGGGCTGGGGAAGCAGGGGGCTGCGGGTCGGGAAGGAGGGGCACGGGCAGAGCGGGGTGGGGGAGCCCAGGGCTGGGGAAGCAGGGGCTGCGGGTCGGGAGCGAGGGGCACGGGCAGAGCGGGGTGGTGGGAGCCAGGGCTGGGGAAGCAGGGGGCTGCGGGTCGGGAGCGAGGGGCACGGGCAGAGCGGGGTGGGGGGAGCCAGGGCTGGGGAAGCAGGGGCTGCGGGTCGGGAAGGAGGGGCAGGGCAGAGCGGGGTGGGGGGAGCCCAGGGCTGGGGAAGCAGGGGCTGCGGGTCGGGAAGGAGGGGCACGGGCAGAGCGGGGTGGGGGGAGCCCAGGGCTGGGGAAGCAGGGGGCTGCGGGTCGGGAAGGAGGGGCACGGGCAGAGCGGGGTGGGGGGAGCCCAGGGCTGGGGAAGCAGGGGCTGCGGGTCGGGAGCGAGGGGCACGGGCAGAGCGGGGTGGGGGGAGCCCAGGGCTGGGGAAGCAGGGGCTGCGGGTCGGGAGCGAGGGGCACGGGCAGAGCGGGGTGGGGGGAGCCCAGGGCTGGGGAAGCAGGGGCTGCGGGTCGGGAGCGAGGGGCACCGGAACGGGTCCCCCTCCCCGCGCCGGGCTCCAGCCAGGCCCCGGCGGACCCGCGCAGAGAAGCGCGCCCTGCCCCCGGCTCTCCCTGGGGAAGGGTCCGCGGCCCCTGCGCTCTCCCGGCCGGGAACAGACGGTCCCGCCGCGCAGGGGGCAGCCCGGGGACCCGTCGGACCGCGCAGCCCCCCCGCAGCGCAGCCCCGCACCCTGCGCGCCCCGGACTCACTCCAAGGTCAGAGACGGGATTTTCAGCCGGTCCCTCCGCGATTTCATGGCTGGGGGCGGCCGCGCCGCCCCGCCCGGCCCGGTTCCCAGCAGCGCAGCGGCCGGCACCAGGCGCCAGCCTCGCTGGAGCGATCTGGGCACCGGCCGCCCCCGCCCGCCGCTCAGGGGCTGCGGCTCCCGCAGGGGGAGGCGGCCCCCGCCCCGGCGCAGGGACGACGCGCTCTGCGGGGCTGGCTCCGTGCCCCCTCCCCGCCCCCAGCACGGCCGGGCGCAGCGCGGGGCCCCTCCCGGCGCACCGGGGCCGCCACCCGCCTTGGCCCGACCCGCCGGGGCGCTGCAGGGGTCGGTCCCAGACCCAGCACCCACCACGCGCCACTTGGGGCCAGGGGCACGAGGTGGCAGGGGCCCCTGCAGATCCGAGGGGAGCCCCAGGCTGTGCAAGGTCCAGGTGCCCCCTGCCCCACCCCCTCCATGCTCTCCCGTAGGGCCTGGGCCAAATACAGGCCCATGAGCCAACAACTGAGTCTTGAGCCTGGGCTCCCTTCCTGGAGCTGCAACAGACGTGACACCTTTGTTAGTCTGTATTCGCAAAAAGAAAAGGAAGTGGCACCAGCTCTCACTTGTGGCACCAGCTCTCAGCCCTTTGCCCGGAGTCCGGGCAACCTTCAGCCCCACGGCAATCTGCCCCCCTCCAAGGGGCCGGGCTACTCCCAGTCCCAGGCTGCCAGCCCACTGAGGGTCTCATCCACAGGCCCTGGTCCAGACGGGAGTCAGGGCAGGAGTCAGACTCAAACCACGTTCATGGCAAACCCTCCACCAGGACGGGCCTTCGCATGGCAGGTCTGTCTGGCGGCTAGTCCTGGCATCACTGGGCGAGCCCTTGGCACAGCCATGAAAACTTCCCCCAACCCCTGTGTGCTGCACGGCCCAAGCACGTGCACAGATCAGCAGGCAAAGGGTTAACCTGTGCTCCCCAGCCCCTGCTGGGCACCACCCTGGAGCCCGCAGGGGCGGTTGAGCCTGGGAAGGCAACTGACCGTGGCCTTCAGGTTCACTTGGGTTTCCACACTGCATCAGAGGAAAATGGGCCAAACCCGCCCACAGTCCAACGGGCCTGGCCCCGCAGGCTCCCTGCCTCCTGGCAGAGGCCTCGGCACGGCCCTGAGGTGCCACTGTAGACACAGGACCAAACCCATCCCTGGTTCAACCCCACTGGCATGATGCCAGGAGGGATTTGTCTCGGTGCCCGGGCTCCCCCCGCTCAGAGCAAAGTGCCCCGGGGCAAGTGGGCAGCTCCAATGTCAGTCCCTCCCCAGCGTACCAGTGAGAGACTCAGGCCAGAGCCTCCAGTGCTGCCTGGGCCGGAGCCGCCCTGAGCACGGAGCCGCCCGGAAGGAGACAGCAAACCACCACCAAGCCCTCCAAAACAGCCCCTGCTGCACCCAACCCCCCGACCTTGCCCTGACACGGGTAGCCCCAGGGCTGGCTGCGACTGGGGCATATCGCTGGAGCGCCGCACCCCGGGGGCCCGTTCCAGCAGGGAAATGATTTGAGCAAAGAAAAATGACACCCTTAAAAAAGCACCCCCTCCCCTGACTCCAGCAGGGACCACGGTGCCTTCCAGTCCCAGCTGGGCCCCGCAGCACAAGGGAAGGGCCAGAACTCTCTCCCGGGAGAAATCCCGTCCCAGAGGTTCTGGGCCAGTTGGACCTTAAAGCTCACGCTGAAAAGCAGGGCTGGGCAGGCGTCCGTCGCTCGTACTTACATGTTTCCTCTGCGGGGCAGGCTCAGCTCCTTCTGCAATGAGAGGGCAGAGAAGAGAGGGGTCAGCCAGCCGCTCCCCCCGCCGTGCCATGGCAGCTGCTGCCAGCACCATGCCTGCTGCAGCCACAGAGCAGCCAGGGGGATTTCAGGCAGGCACGGTGCCCAGCCAGCGCATCAGACCCCACAGCCCGCCACAGGCTCTGCCCCTGCCCCCTCTGCCAGCTGGGAGGAGACAAATGGCTGCAGCTCAGCCTCCTCCAGCTCCCAACCAGCGGTGCCACCACGTGAGCCTTGCCGCTGGGCGCTAGTTATGGCTGCTGACACACAGGACGAGGGGCAGGACTCCTGGGTTCTCTTTCTCGCTCCCAGGCTGGCACAGTGCGGGTCCTTGGGCACGTCTGGGACATTTCTCTCTTTGGGGGCGTGCAAGGCCTCGCTGGCTGAGGATTCTGAAGGTCTTTGAGACCCACATGGAGAGGCGTGTGCCTTGTCTGGGGGAGCCAGCCCTTGGCCTAGCAGGGGAGGCTGAGAACGCCATGATCTGAGTAGGGAGCCCAGGGCAGGCCGACTGAGCACACTCCCCCCTGCAGCATCCCACAGCTCTGCTCTCACGTATCCTGACAAGCTGCAGCCCTGCTGAGCCTCTTCCTGCGTCTCAGGTCCATCACCTCTCCTCGGGGTCAGACTGCTGACGGCGCCGTGGCCTGGGCATGGATGGGTGTCTGGGCTCCCCACGTTTGGGTTCTCTCCGAGGCACCGCTTACACAGACGCTGCCCTTAAAGTGACCCTAGCCACGTCAAACATCAGCACCCCATGACCCTGTCTCGTGTTCTGAGTCCTGTGGGAGCAGCACGCTCAGCTTCTCCCACGGTTGTAAACTCCCCAACCCCCAGCAAATGTCTAACAAATCGCAGAGCCCTGGCGGATCCCCTCCCCTTGCCCAGGTCGGGCACAGTGAGTGGCATTTTCCTGCAAAGACCCCTAACCCCAGCATGCAGGAGGGAGACAGACGCCTGGGGGAAGGGAAGCAAAACAGAGGCATTGTACAGCAGCTGGCAAAGCTGCATTTCAGCCCCTGGGCTGGGGGTGAAAGGCTGCCCATCCCATGATGCTTTGCTTGGAGGCCTGGCACCTGCCCAGCGTGAGCCCACAGCATGTGCGGAGCAGCCAGCAAGCAGCAATGAGAGCCCTGTTTACTTTTCCCCTCGGGCATATTTCTGCAAGAGCGGTTTGCTGGTGCGTGGCATGAGGGACAAAGGTCAGTTCTTCGGAGGCCCCTGGGAATATCAGAGGGTGGTGCTGGGAACAACTGCATCTGGGTGCGCGCGTCTGTGTGCCGAGGGGCAGAGACACAGGCTCCTCTCAGTGAGGTCGGCAGGGTGCACGGCGCGTGCACAAACGGCAGGTTGTGTGTGTGTGTGTCATTGTACGTGGGGGTGCCTGTGCACACACTGAAGTGGAGGAACATTCCCCTGCCCAGGCTGGTGCTTCTTCCACTGCCCTGCCAGCAGCCGGAGGCCTAACACCCCGAGCCCCACACCTGCACAGATTCCCACGCTCTCCGGCGACAAGCTAACGAACGCACCTCTCCAGCACCACTGCCCCAGCCCTGCCCAGCCCCTGTAAGCAGCTTAGACACAGATGTGAAATCACACCGAGTTACTGGCACGACTCTAGGGCCTTTGCACACACTCACATCTGCTCCCCCAGACACACGCCCCCAACGATATGGCTATTGACACATGCACACGCATGTGTGCTCCCTACATGTACTCAAACACAGCCACACGTAAGCACAACCCCACCACATACACCCCTGCCGTCCACGCACACGCATGTGTGCCCGCACACCTCTTTCCTGGACAGCCTGTCTCCCCCCATCACAGAATGGGGAAACCCCCACCCAGGGTACAGTAATGGAATGCTAAACTGTATTACACAGTCCAGCCGCAAGGTGGAGCTGTGTGTAACACACCTTATTTAAGATAACCTCAGCCACACCGGGCAGAACATAAAAGACTGGTGTGTCTCTCTCCCAGAAGGAAGCTCTGTAGCCCGTCTATATCTGGCCCAGGGGCATGCCCTGGTGTCAAAAGTAAACTAGGGCCAAAGAACAGAAACAACAAGGAACAAAGCACCCATGGTTGCAGGATCTCACCAACCTCTCCCTCTCCAGTGGGCTCCGGAGAACGTCAGCTGTGACAAACCTTCAGCGTGAACAGCCTGGAAGCAAGACTTCGCATTGCTTCCAAGCTCCACGAGGAAATGGATGATATTCAGGTATCTTCTTTAATCGATGCTCCGGTGAAGCAAGCAGAGTATATCTTTAAATCTTTTCCCTTTACTGACGCAGTCACAGAGGTGACTTTGAAAGGGTCCTGGTTACACTTGATGTATACTTTACACCTCAGAGAAATGTGGTTTATGAAAGAGCACATTTTATTTCACCAGAGAATTCAAGAAACAAGAGAAAATGTTGACTGTTTTCTAAGAGCTCTCTATACATTCACTGCAAACTGTGGTTTGGGGACGGCAAAACATGAAAATATTAGGGACAGGCTGGTTATTGGGTTAACAGATAAAAACCTTTCACAGCAGCTACAATTAAAAACAGACCTTCTCAGATGCAGGCTGGCAGCCGTGAGGGGCCAAGTGAGAAAGGACTCAATGGATTATTTGATGATACTGGACTTTTGAAAGGGGATCCCCTACAAATCAACTTAAGAGACGATGCTGAACCCTACAGTGTACAAACACCAGAGACCATGGAGGAGACTAGCTACGGATTTATGGCAATTCAGTGGACATCATCTGGTCATAGTGGACTATTTTTCCATGCATATAGAAATAATGTATTTGAAGGACATAACTGGGACACAGTGTTACTGAACATCTGACAAGCATTTTTGCTCACTTTGGTATTCCAGAAGAACTAGTGATGGACAACAGGCCACACAATTCACTGCAGCAGAATTTAAGTCATTCTGAATGAAATACGATTTTGATCGTATTACCAGCAGCACATACTACCCACAAGCAAATGGAGAGGCTGAGATAGATGTACAGACAGCCGTGAAAATGCTACAGCAGGAAGATCCTTTCCTTGCTCTTCTGAGCTACAGATCAACACCTACAATGGCTCCTGGATATAGTCCAGCACCACAGGTGATTAGAAAACAACTCAGAACTACCATTCCAACTTTGGAAAAGAATCTATCTCCAAAGTGGCGACAGCAAGAGACTAGCCAAATCGGATAGAAAAGCAAAAAGAGATTATGAACACTTTTATAACAGATGTGACTCAGAGAATTGCCGAGTCTAGAACCTGGTGATCACGTTTGTGTCAACCTGGATGGAGAAAAAGGACGGACAACTCCAGCTGTCACATAGAAAAAGAATTCAGGGCTAATATGCAATTGAGATTGGCAGTGGGGAGTTCAACAGAAACCATCAACATCTACAGTTTGTTCCTCAGAAAGAACAATCAACAGAGCAAATGCTATGGATGGCGCATGCAGAAAAGATGACATAAGGATTCCAAACCCACCACAGCCAGTCGTGCCAACTAATGTACAGGCAGATGGCCAAGTTGTTATACGTTCCATTTGTGTCATTAGAAAACCAGTACAATTCAGAGACACGTAACAGACTGATCCATGCTGAACCTCAAAGCTAGTGTGATGATAATGTAAACTTTGTCAGTGGTAGAAATGTAGAAGGCAAAGGGGAAGATGGAATATTATGCTAAATTATTACACTGGTCGGCTACTAGGTGGCGCTGTGTGTAACACCTTATTTAGGCAGGTTTCAGAGTAGCAGCCCTGTTAGTCTGTATCCGCAAAAAGAAAAGGAGGACTTGTGGCACCTTAGAGACGAACCAATTTATTTGAGCTTAAGCTTTCGTGAGCTACAGCTCACTTCATCGGATGTAGCTCACTAAAGCTTATGCTCAAATAAATTGGTTCGTCTCTAAGGTGCCACAAGTCCTCCTTTTCTTTTTACCTTATTTAGACTAACCTTAGCCCCACCTAGCAGAGCATTAAAGGATCTTACACTGATCACATCTGGTGCGTATTGCACTCAGAAGGAGCTTTGTAGCCGCTCCACATCTGGTACAGAAGCCTGGCCTGAGCAGCACTGCAACCTTCCATGCACCAGAAGTACATGCCATCGTGTCAGAGCAGCACCAACCCCCATCCTCTGCTCTCCAGCCTCATTTAGTCCTTTGCGGCCCCACCAGGCCCTTTCCAGGAGCCCAGGGGCTAAGGGGGTTCCCTGGCTTTGCTTTTCATTCAGGCTTCTCTCTTCCCAGATCAAAGCTGGGATGCCAAGAGGCAGGCAGGCATTTGCCATGGCAACCACTGATGTCACAGTGCAGTGATGCACCAGGAACGCCAGGGATTCTCAGGGGATGGCAGGGGCGGGGAGAAGTCGCTGCCTCGTGAGAGCAGGGGCAGCTGGAATTGTGCACAGAATCCTGACCTCTGGGAGCTGCAACCTCTGTCCACCCCCTGCAGCCCACATGTGCCAGGCCTCAGCCCGCCAGCGGGGCTTAGCACCCATGTCTTCCACAGTGCTAAATAATCCACACAGCTGCTGGCGGGGGGCGGAGGGGTGGACTGCGTGTCGTATCCCCTTTCACAGGTAGGGAAGGAGGCACAGAGACATGAAGGGGGATAGCAGCAGAGCTGGGAACAGACAGCAGATGTTCTGATACACACACCAATACCAGCTCCCTGCTCCATCCACTCAACCACGCTGCCTCCCAAAGGCCAACAATAAGGCAGCAAAAGGATGCAGGCAGAGTGGGGCAAGGCAAGGCAAGGGCAGGGCATAGAAGAATCAGGAATGCTGTGGGGCAGGGCAGAATCAGGGATGCTGTAGGGCAGGGCATGGAAGAGTCAGGGATGCTGTGGGGCAGGGAGGAAGGGTTTTAATTTAGCAAAATTTGGAGATAGCGCATAAAAAAACAAGTAAAATTGTTTGAGACACGATTACTCCAGTTATCCCCTCCCCCAATAAACCCCCCTATTACTCAGATTATCTCCTCCCCGATTACCCTCCACCCCCAGTCATTCCTACAGGATGCTCCCTATCCTGTTTGTCAGTGACCAGGTGCAGTCCGATTGGTTTAGAAAACAAGTCTATTGTGTGCACAGGCTAATCAGGGAACATTTGTGCAGCGTTTTTATGAATCAGAGAGTCCTGGCTGGGCAGCCCTCGTTCTGCAAGATGACAGGCCAGCACGGAGCCATCCCGAGGGCTGCGTGGCTGGTGCCTGTTCCCCAGGTTGCCTACGGGAGGCCGTGTGTCATGCTCAGGAGCGGATGGCTGGAGACAACCCCTGTGCAGGTTCCCTGGAGGAGCCGTTGAGCCCCGAGCCCTGTGGTGGGGACGGAGCCAGGGATTAGAGATTAAACATTTGTTATCGGGATGGCCATGACGCTCAACGCTTTGGAATTAGATCCAAGGGCCGTGTGCCCCAACCTCAGCAGAGGAGAGAGTGCAGGAAACCGGGAGCCACTTCACGCTGCAGGGGGCTGACAGTTGGAACAGCTCCTGTCCAGGTTCCTACAGAGCAAGCAGCCCCCCAACAGCTGCAGCCCTCGCAGAGTGCATGTCCCGCACCCCTGCACAACACTCCCTCCCGTGCATGCCCCCACAGACCCTCCATGGCGCAGCACCCCACACGGTCACCTGCCTCCCTACCCAGTCACACGCACTCGAGGAAGGAACCGGTTTTGGCAAGAGTATTTTAGGACTTTGAGTAGCAATTAGTCTGCAGAAGAGAAGAATGAGGGGGGATTTGATAGCTGCTTTCAACTACCTGAGAGGTGGTTCCAGAGAGGATGGTTCTAGACTATTCTCAGTGGTGGAAGAGGACAGGACAAGGAGTAATGGTCTCAAGTTGCAGTGGGGGAGGTTTAGATTGGATATTAGGAAAAACTTCTTCACTAGGAGGGTGGTGAAACACTGGAATGCATTACCTAGGGAGGTGGTAGAATCTCCTTCCTTAGAAGTTTTTAAGGTCAGGCTTGACAAAGCCCTGGCTGGGATGATTTAATTGGGGATTGGTCCTGCTTTGAGCAGGGGGTTGGACTAGATGACCTCCTGAGGTCCCTTCCAACCCTGATATTCTATGATTCTATGAATTGTGCTGATGAAGGATTTGTCTCTGGGGGAGGGGGGCCGTTGTACACCCCACCTCCCTATGCACCCCAACCCCACACATCCCACCCCCATGCTGCAGGGTGTTTACGGATGATTTCACTTGCTGTATTCCAATGGAGAAAGATGAACACAAGGCAGACAGCAGAGCATGCCTGCCCCGGGAGCTGCCAGACTAAATAACAGTAACACCGTGCCCTTGTGCAACAGCCCAGAGAGTTTCGCTGACATTCAGCGATTGCACCTCACAAGCCCCTAGCAGCACAGAACCGTAGGGCTGGAAGGGACTACCAGCCCAGCCCCCTATGCTGAGGCAGGACCACGTACACCTAGACCAGCCCTGACAGGGGGTTTGTCATCACAAGCTCCTTTTGCAGATGGGGAAACCAAGGCACAGAGAGACAACATGACTTGCCCAAAGTCACACAGCAAACCAGAGTTGGGAACAGAGCCCCAGAGTCCTGACTCTCAAATAAAACTGCCCTGGGGGTGGGATTCCCAGGCCACGGAGACAGACTCTCGCTAGCTTTCACAGAGGTAACGTGCTAAAAGTAAGACAGCAACAGCAGCACAGGAAGCAGCGAGTGGCGGCCCAGCCTGACTGCCCTGAGAACATGTCCGTGGGGCCTGGGGGGAGGGGGGGGTGGCAGTGCGTGGGGTGGCTAACTCCTCCCTCCTCTCGCCACTGCCCATGCAACGCTGCTGTTTGTCGTGCGCTCGCTCCCGAGTGTGTCACGCCTGTAGCTTGTAACCCCAGTCTCGTCTTATACCGCCTACAGCAAACTAGAGCCACTGTTATGGGGCACTTAAAGAAGAAATGAAGAGACTGTCCCTACCCCAAGGAATTTCCAAGCTAGTTTTGACAGGAGCCTGCCCATTCCACAGCCATACTGGGGCACTGGGTCTGACCAGCAAGTCCTGCGTACCCTGGATGTGCAGAACCCAGCCTTCATCTCCCTAAACACCTTGCTCACTAAACAGCCAGCTGATCCCCTACAGCAAGGCCTGGCGCAGGCAATCGCAGGGAGGGTGTGCATACAGGCAGGGGCCATAGACACAGCACTAGGGGGACACTCACACAGGTTTCTGAGTGGTACTGCCTAACATTAGCCGGGGAAGGGACAGGAGTGGACCGACCTGCTGGACTGGGAGTCTGAGTGGAGAATGGATAGACACACAGCGGGAGGCTTCCTTTGGCTGGAGCCGCCAGGACGCAATTGCTCAATGTCGCAGCAGAAGTTACTGGAGTTCTGTGCTCACATAGCCCAGTGCCGCTGCAGCTCAGGGCATGGCCCTTCTCTCCCTTCCCTCACTACTGGGCCAGGTTCTGCCTCCCATCCGTGGGGCTTTGAATTCACCAGCGTAACCCAGGGTAAACGGCCTTTCCCCTCCAGGGCACTGTGCTGAGCACCTGCAGGTGCTGCACCCACCCACCTCTGCATTATGCAGAGCATCACTCTGCAGGCAAACCCTGGGCGCCCAGTCTCTATCTTGGCCCCTCGCCCCTCTGGAGCATGAGGGCCAAGAGGATGGACTGGGGGCAGACAGTTGTCAGGGGACCAAGCCCACCCTCTGCTGGACTCCCTGGTGCCAAAGACACCAGGCCAGGAGCTGTATGCAGCAAGCCATAGGCTACAGGTGATGCCAGGCAGAAAGCCAATCTCAGAGCAGCCATGGGGCTGCCCCTGCATAGGATGCATGGGTACCCCCGGCATTGCGGGCAATGGCTCGTGGCCTGACTCATCCCACGTTCCATCTCAATGCCACACGCCACCCTGGCCCCTGTGTGCAAAGAGCATAGACTGGGGAGCAAAATGACTCCACATGGTACATGGGAACAAGCCGCCTAGGGCCAGGGCAGGGCCACTCTCATGCTTAGAGGCCTTTTCTGCTGCACCCCCCACCCCCTCAAGAGAGGCCAACACTGGCTCTGTGCATCCCTCTGTCCCCACCCCTCCCCCCATCACATACACAGGGTGCTATGCAGCCGCTCAGACCCAAACCCTCTCCCATGACACACCTACGGTGCTATGCAGCCTCTCAGCACCCCTCACCCCCATCACATGCAGACACTGGCTCTGCACAGCTCCTCAGTTCCCCATCATGCACAGGCCAGTACCCCCCACTGCCACACGTGCATCCCCCCAAACACATGCAGCCCCGTCACACCCATCATACACATGTGGCACCCTCTCTCACACCATCGGTGCTGGAACTAGGGGTGCTGGGGGGGCTGCCGCACCCCCTGGCTTGAAGTGGTTTCCATCATATGCAGAGTTTACAGTTTGGTTCAATGGCTCCCAGCACCCGCACTGTACACATTGTTCCATCACCCCTCACCCAGACACAGCCCCCCATCAAACCCACACACCCGTCACACCCCTCACCCAGACAGCCTCACCGCCCCATCACACCCAGACAGCCCCCCATCAAACCCCTGACCCAGACACAGCCCCCCATCAAACCCACACACACCCGTCACACCCCTCACCCAGACAGCCTCACCGCCCCATCACACCCAGACAGCCCCCATCAAACCCCTGACCCAGACACAGCCCCCCATCAAACCCACACACACCCGTCACACCCCTCACTAAGACAGCCTCACCGCCCCATCACACCCAGACAGCCCCCATCAAACCCCTGACCCAGACACAGCCCCCCATCAAACCCCTGACCCAGACACAGCCCCCCATCAAACCCACACACACCCGTCACACCCCTCACCCAGACACAGCCCCCCATCAAACCCACACACACCTGTCACACCCCTCACCACGACAGCTCACCGCCCCATCACCCCCACACAGCCCCCCATCAAACTCCTCACCCAGACAGCCCCCCATCAAACCCACACACCCATCACACCCCTCACCCAGACAGCCTCACCGCCCCATCACACCCAGACAGCCCCCATCAAACCCCTGACCCAGACACAGCCCCCCATCAAACCCACACACACCCGTCACACCCCTCACTCAGACAGCCTCACCGCCCCATCACACCCAGACAGCCCCCATCAAACCCCAGACACAGCCCCCCATCAAACCCACACACCCGTCACACCCCTCACCCAGACAGCCTCACTGCCCCATCACACCCAGACAGCCCCCATCAAACCCCTGACCCAGACACAGCCCCCCATCAAACCCACACACCCCTCACCCAGACAGCCTCACTGCCCCATCACACCCAGACAGCCCCCCATCAAACCCCTGACCCAGACACAGCCCCCCATCAAACCCACACACCCCGCACACCCCTCACTCAGACAGCCTCACCCCCCATCACACCCAGACAGCCCCCATCAAACCCCAGACACAGCCCCCCATCAAACCCACACACCCCTCACCCAGACAGCCTCACTGCCCCATCACACCCCTCACCCCCACACAGCCCCCCCACCCGTCACACCCTGGGACACCCCGCTCAGCCCGGGCTCCCCGGGAACCCCCCGGCCGCAGCGCCCGAGACAGGAGCCGGGACCCGGCCCCGGCCGGGCGCTCCGGGGCCGGGGGCGCCGCGCTCACCTGCAGCCCGCGCCGCCGCAGCAGGCCGGGCTCGTCCATGCCGCGCTCCCGGCCCCGCGCTGCGCGCAACCTGCGCCGCCGCGCCCGCCCCTCCGCGCTGCGCGGTGCCAGTCAGCTGATCCCCCGCCCGGCGCCGCGCAGCGCCGGGGGCTGGGGCCAGGCGGCCGGTACAGCGGCCCCTCGGCCCGGCCAGCGCAGCTAGGGGCGGGTCCCGGGGAGCAGGTCCCCTGGGTGGCCTCCCTGCGCCCCCCGCCCTGGTTCCCAGCCTTTGGGGAGCCCCTCTGCGCAGCGACCCCCCCTCAACACGGGGAGCCTGTCCAGAGGGCAGCGGAGAATGGGGGCGGGGCAGCAAGTTCTGCTTTTGCTTTTCAGTTGCAGCGACATTGTCAGCACCTGGCCCGGCCTGGCTCCCTGCCCCTTGCTTGTGTGCGGGAGGGGGTGGCCCAGCGACCTGCGGCGGTGCTGGGCTCAGGACAAACCGCAGCTCAGCTGCAAGGAGTCTGGGCTGTTGCTTGGCGGCCTCCCCCATCAGGCAGGCCAGCACCGGCCTCTGAAACCCCAGGCAAGACACCACCGGCGAAGTCAGCCAAGGCCAGTCCCATGGGGCTGGCCATCAGCAGGAGATCAGCTGTTCAGCCCCACTGACCTGAGTGGGGCCCTCCACGCTTTTAGCCCATCCCTCCAAGACTTGCAGGCAGGGCCGGGCGGGACAGGGCTGACTGAGCCCACAGTGGCTCATTATCGCTTTCTTGGCCAGCGTGGGGTTTGTCTGGCACACACCTGCAGCGTCGTAGTCTCTGAGCCCTAGTTCCAGCCGTGCATTAGGCAGCGACTGACTTCTGGAACCTGTCGTTTGTCCTCTCAGCCTTGCTGCAGGGGGGAACATCTTGCTCTGCATTTATGTGAGAGAAGACAGGACCAAGCAATGCTCCTGGCACTTGGGGTGGAGGGTGGGGAGGTTTGGGACAGTCTGTTCCTGGGGAAGTTCAATCCACAGTCTGGGGTGGACCCTAGAAAGCTCTGTTTCGTGCCCAGGTACGTTGCATTGCTGTCGTCCAGCTGAGACGCCATGAACGTGGACAACCCCCTGGGGGTGATGACCCCCCCCTGGAGAAACTCTGGGCTAGATGATCAGAATGGTCCCTAAAATCAATTACCTGAGTAGGGTTCCCTAGCAGCTCTTGCCATGTTAGTTGCTGGGGTTCCTTAGCAGCTCTTGCCATGTTAGTCGCTGCAGGGAATGTTTGCTGGGCCTATCTGAATTAGACAAGGAGAGAAGTAATCCACATTTGCTGCCTTATATAGAGCATCCTCACGTGCCCTGTGGAGACCAAGCACTGACAACTGAGGCCAAGTGCCCTAATGGGGTACGAATCCCAAAGCTGCATGGACTCATCCGGTGCCAGTATGCAGTACTTAATTTGTAACGAAAGACGTACAGGGGCTCAAGCATTTTTCCCTTTCAGAACTGATGCAGCAAGCCTAGAGGTGCTGGGGCTATGAACTGCCAGGCCCAGAGATGCCAGGGCTCAGGCCTGGCAAGCCTTGGCCCAAATTAAACACTGCCAGTATAGGAATCAGATAGCTGGATTCATGGTCTGAACCTATACCAGAGGAGAGGGGCCTGCTGGACCAACAGCCTGAGGCAGTACAGCAGGGGACCCAGGTGGACCAAAAGAATAAATGGCCAGTTTTCACAGTAGAGGGAGGTAAATTGCAGGGTACTCCAAGGGGGGAATCTCTACTGGGACCAGTGCTGTTCAACATATTCCTAAATGATCTGGGAAAAAAGGGGTAAACTGTGAGGTGGGAAAGTTTGCAGACGAGACTAAATTACTCAAGATCGTTAAGTCCAAAGCTGACTCCGAAGAGCTACAAAGGGATCTCACAAAACTGGGTGATTGGCAACAAAAATGGCAGATGAAATTCAGTGTTGATAAATGCGAAGTCATGCACATTGGAAAAAATAATCCCAACTATACATACAAAACGATGGGATCTAAATTAGCTGTTACCACCTAAGAAAGAGATCTTGGAGTCATGGTGGATCGTTCTCTGAAAACATCCACTCACTGTGCAGCAGCCATCAAACAGGCTGAGAAAATGTTAAGAAAGGGATGGATAATAAGACAGAAAATATAACGCTACTATATAAATCCATGGCACGCCCACACCTTGAATACTGTGGGCAGTTCTGGTCATCCCATCTCAAAAAAAGGTCTATTGGATCGGGCAAGGTTCGGAGGAGGGCAACAACAATGACAAGGGGATGGAACAGCTTCCAGGGGAGGAGAGAGTAAACAGACTGGAACTGTGCATCTTAGAAAAGAGGCGACTAAGGGGGGAGATGATGCAAGTCTATAAATCCCTGTCTGGGGGGGGAGAAAGCGACTTGGGACATGTTATTTACCTCTTCCCATAGCACACGAATCAGGGGTCACCCAGTGAAATGACCAGGCAGCAGGTTTAAAACAAACAGACGCGCCGTCACCCTGGGGAACTCGTTGCCAGGGGATGTTGTGAAGGCCAAAAGTATAACTGGGTTCAAAGAAGAATTAGATCAGTTCACGGAGGACAGGTCCAGCAATGGCTATTAGCCAGGATTGTCAGGGACGCAACCCCATGCTCCGGGTGTCCCTAAGCTTCTGACTGCCAGAACCTGGGACTGGACAACAGAGGATGGGTCACTCGATAACTGCCCTGTTCTGTTCATTCCCTCGGAAGCACCTGGCACTGACCACTGTGGGAAGACAGGACACTGGGCTAGATGGACTATAGGTCCGACCCCACACAGTCGTTCTTCTGCTCTGAATGGGCTGCTCTGTTGGAACCGCTCCTGGGCCGATGGGCAGCCTCAGCTCTCCACTTCCTGACTGCGTGTGTTAGTGGTCCCTGCAGGAGGATGTAGCCTCCACGGCCAGAAACAAATCTTATCCTGAGATCAGGAGTGGGGCTGGCTGACTGGCCTGCTGCAACTTTTCCTTCTCTGCTGCCTCCTGTCTCTCAGCGCTGTGACTTGGCCTCAAACCCATCAATCTGCCTTTTGCCTGCTTCAACCCAAACATGGCTCTTCACCGAGCCCAGCTGAGTTCCCTGTGCATGGAAGAACAGAGTATCGATTGAAGAGTCCTTCCAGAGACCCAGCCCCACTCGAGAGACCCATCGACTTCCATTTGACAGTAAACATAACCCAGCCTTGAAGCGACTGCCTGGCCCAAATGACCATAGGGTGCTCACCTGCACAGCTGTCTAGAGCTGGGGCTGAGTGGGGAGTGCCCCCAGAGAGAGGGGAGAAAGGTGGATCTGTCACGGAGTCCCTGGGCGATGCTCTGGAACTGCTCCCCATGAAGTCAGTCAGGACTCTGGGGTAGTCGCCTTTCTGTGAGCAACCTGTCTTCAGGACACACAGCTCACACAGCTTCCACCTTCCTGGGTCTGACCTCGGAGCATTCAGCATCCTCTGCCTCTCCGTGCGCTTCCCACAGCGAGTCCGCTCAGGCGGTGCTCCTGGGGAAGCCAGAGGGTCCTGCACCCCAACTTCGCAGTCAGACGTGACTCTCAGCCAGCCAGTAAAACAGAAGGTTTATTAGACTACAGGAACATGGTCTAAAACAGAGCTTGCAGGTGCAGAGAACGGGACCCCTCAGCTGGGTCCATTCTGGGGGGCAGTGAGCCAGACAACCACGTCTGCACTTCACTCCATGTCCCAGCCAGCCCCAAACTGAAAAACCCTCCAGCCCCTCCTCCTGTGGGCTTTGTTCCTTTCCCGGGCCAGTAGGTCACCTGATTCCTTTGTTCTCCAACCCTTCAGCTCTCACCTTGCAGGGGGGGAAGGGCCCAGGCCATCAGTTGCCAGGAAACAGGGTGTCGGCCATTCTCTGTGTCCAGACTCCTGCACACACATGCCCTCTAGGGCACTGCAATGATCATACACCCTTACCCCACCACCTAGATACTTAAGAACTGCCTAGGGGAAACTGAGGCACCCCCACACTATTCAGAGGAAACATTAAGAACAGTCCCACTTCGTCACAGGATCCTTTGCCTTTCAAGGGCTAGGACCCACTGGTTGAAGATTCTGTGGCCTGCATTGTGCAAGAGGTCAGACTAGATGATCATAATGGTCCCTTCTGACCTTAATATCTATGAATCTATGTGAAATGCTGCAAGCAGCTGCTGGAGCAGAGACACCTGGTGTGTGGGTGTTAATGAGAGAGAAACAGAACAGATGGGTTGATGAGGCCCAGCATCCAAAGAAGCTGGTGAATCCTGGGCCCCCCAGAAGGGCTCGGAGCAGGTGCAGTGCTCACAACAAGGGACCCAGCTCCCACATTGGCAGGAGGCTCCGTACAGGGGAGAAGCTCCCATGGGGCCTGCATTGTCCCTGTGGCTTCAAAGGCACAACACAAAATGGGGGGTACTCCCAGGTCAGGAGGGAGACTGGATAATGGGAGGAGGCAGGAGAACCGGCAGTGGGTAATGACAGTGTCTGCTGGGCTCTGCTCACTGGGGCAGAGGGGCTGGGGGAGTGATTGGGGATTCATCACTTTAGCATGTCAAGAAAGCCCTGCAGCCTTCATTTCAGGGGCAGGGGCTGGCCAGGGCCCTCTCATCTGTGCCGCCTTCCCTCCCGGGCTGCTCCCGGTGAAAGGGATGCTTTTTGCCTGGACAATGGGGACTCTGTGCCAGGCCCGGTGCCACCCGTATCTGTTTGCCTTAAGTCATCTGTTTGCTCATGTGGTGGCGCCGGCCCCACGGCCAGGCTCCCAGTGACACGGGAGGCTTGTGACAAATGCTCTGCATTCAGAGGCAGCCCTTGAGCCGCTGGCTTCCGGGCAGTGGCGCTCACTGGGGCTTTTGTTCAGCGCAGCGGGCGGGGACATTGTGTCTGTTTGGGATCTCAGGAATCCATCCTCACCCGCAGGGGGGCCTCATCTCCTCCCCAGGAAACAAACACCCATTGCTACCTCCCTGGAACCAGTTGTTTATCCCTGTGAGAATGGAGCATCATGGGAGAGCGAGGGAGGCTGCCTCTCCCGCTCCCTGCCCTGGATTGGCCTCACCCCTCTTCTGCCC